TATGTGATAATATAAAAAAATACGATAATCTGTTTTTTTTTTCTCATAAAAGTTTGAATATTTTAGTTCTATTTCATTCTGAGTGTTTTGAAATAAGAAATCCAAGTTGTCTAAAAAATTTCGAAATTTCTTTCTTTCGGTGACAATATCTATGAATGACTCCGCGCTATTTAGCTCAGTTAAATGTTAAGTAAGTTTTTAGAGTTATGTGTGAAATCCTTTCTATTTCATAATCGTTTTCTAAAAGTAATTTTTGGAAGGAAGTGTGTTATTTATTGAGATTTTGAAGATAATGCGTTTTGTAAAATCTGACTAAATAGTGATGGTTTATTTCTCATTTATTGACTTATATTCTTTTATTTTCAGAAGTAAGTCGGGAGGAAAGGGGGTGCGGTAAAAAAACACTATATTATATAATAGTGTATTTATTGTATTGCCCAACGTTTCGAACTACGTTGAAGGTCTCCTTCAGAGCATTCCGTCTGGCACTGCTGAAGGCAGTACGACGACTCCTTTTATTCCTTTATATAAGAGTTGCATTGCACCTGGCGCTGTTGAGATTTTCAAGATCAAGGCAAAATTATTCTGTCTTGATAATCCTGGTATTTGAGTGATATTTGGTGATTTTTTATCAGTTTTATTTTTATTAATTATTTATTATAAATTTTGGCTATTCATTTATCGAGGGATAAAGTTTGAAGATTAATAAAGTTGTTATTGGGAGACAGAGTGGTCCAACCGCATGATTAATTTCTTGAGTATTACCAGCTGTATAACCAATTATATTTGCTAATTGAGGATATGTGGGACAAAGAATGCATGCCAGCAGAGTGGAAAACAAGTTTAATCTATCCTATACATAAAAAGGGAGACAGGCTGCTCTGCGAAAATTACAGAGGGATATCGCTCTTAGGAGTAGCGTACAAAATATTCTCCAACATATTGGTTCAGAGATTAAATGAGTTTGCCGAGAATATTCTACAGGAATACCAATGTGGATTCCGCAGAGGTAGGCAAACGACGGATCAGATCTTTGTAATGAGACAGTTAATGGAAAAGTGCTGGGAATACAAAACTGACCTACACATGCTGTTTATAGACTACCGGCGTGCTTTCGATAGTGTGAACAGAAATAGCATGATATTTGAGATTCCAACATTCCAAATGAGCTAATTCGCTTGATACAAATATCCATGGATGACAGTAATGCTAAAGTGTGTATTAATGGTACACTTATCAGTCACTGGTTTTGCTAATGCAACGGTTTTGCAGTCATTGCCAGAGTCAGGCAAGGAGGTACGGTATCTGCTACACTATTTAACCTTACACTACATAATGTGATTGTAAAGCTATACTTCAATGAGTATATACTGCGTTCATCCACTCAAATATGTGCATACGCTGATGGTATTTGCTTATTGGCAAGGAATAAGCAATCTCTTATCGATTTGTTCAAGCTGTTGAAGGAGGAAGGTGAAGTGCTTGGTTTAGAAGTCAATGAAAGAAAAACCAAGTACATGTTTGTAAGTTCAGGCAGTGATTCAAGACCTAGAGAAGATCTGTAGGTTGAAGATTTTTCTTTTGAAAATGTTAAATCCTTCTCTTATCTTGATGTAGGGTATAATTACGCAAATGAAATATCAGCAGAAGTGAATAGACGGATTATGGTAGGTAACCGGGCTTATTACGCAAACATAAAACTCTTTCGCTCATCGCTGTTGTAACGAACGACAAAAATAACATTGTATAAAATATTGGTAAGATCAGTAGTGACATATTCTGCGGAAACTTGGACCCTTTCCACCCCCACAATAAATGCGTTGGAGGTTTTCAAGAGGAAAATTCTCCGTAAAATTTATGGACCTGTATTGAAGAGGGTGAATGGAGAATCCGGAAGAACAGTGAACTATTTGAGCTATATGGATCTTCTGACATTGTTCGCTTCATACGAGCAAGCGGGATTGAATGGTCAGGTCACGTAACACCAATGAATTAAGTGAGAACAAAAAAGAATTCTGCTTGGAAAGATGTATGGCACCAGAAGGAGAGGACGTCCTCGGAGACGTTGGATTCAGGATGTGGAAAGGGACCTGGAAAATCTTGGTATAAAGAACTGGAGGAGGAGAGGGTTGTGCAGATAGGACTTCTGCAATGTTGTCAGGGAAGCCAAGGCCCACCCCTGGCTTTAGAGCTAGTAGTAAGTATTACCAGCTGTTCGTTTTTATTGTAGGTTGAGCTATGTTGAAATACTGAGAAAGTCCTATTAATTTCAAAGTACTTAATATATTCTTAAACTATTTTTAATTGATTCTTATTTTTAAAATAATGTTTTCTTATGAACTGACACGTATATATGGTTTAAATACTCGAATAAAATAGTCTCGAATAATACACGTTTAATATTGCGTATAGTATAAAATCATTTATCGACTATATATAGCATTGTAGTTTAAATCAATAAAAATATATATAATATTGTTAGTAAACAAAGTTATTTTACCATTAGATGTTATCAAAATTTATTTAATTCAGTTTAAAGATTTTTTGATGAAAGTTAACTAAGAAGCCCTGAATATTATATGAAATAACAGTACATCAACGATTTCGACTTTTAAATAGTATAGTAATATAGTCAGACAGCATTCATCACTCTTATTTTACAAATACTGTAATTTAATTTGTTTTAAATATAAAACAGTATTTTTTTATTAGTGAATGAACCAGTACCTGGTTACTGGTACATATTGCAATTCTTGAATATTTTTTTAATGTAATTATTTATTGTTTTTTTTTTTAAATTTTGTTTTTCATGTACTTTTAGGAAAAAATGATAGTGTGTGCCAATACATTATATATTTTTCTTATTAATTATAATTAATTAAAATACAAAAAAGAAATACGAGTGTCCTCTTTGCAACAAATATTGAATGTTATTGTTAATTTGAACACTGGACATCAATAATTGGCTAATTGCGGTACCATAACTATTGTCAGCAAAATAGGAAGATAAATGTAATTTTCAAAAGTATAAAAACGTGCTAAATGATGAAATTATTAATATTGGTTGACTATAATAATGAGACTGTTTTTAGATTTTGGCCCATTTTTTAGGATATTCCTAATACAATTTCACCTTGCCTAAACTAATTTTTTTTTTTTTTTTTTTTTTTACGAGACGGTATTTTGTATATTGTGAAGCATAAGCATGTACTTTTTGTTCCATTTTTTTTTTTTTTTTTGGATTAACCGAGCAAATAAAAAACGTTTTGTTATTCATATCTGTATTATTTATTTTAACTATTTTGCAAAAGAGCACCGGAACTACTGAAATGTTTGATAAGACCTTTTTTTGAAGTAAATATTGCGTGTTTTAAATGCATATTTTTTTGTAGTTATACCAGTAGGTCAGATGGCTAACATTTTTTTTTTCATTTTCTTTATTTTTTTAACGGTATTTTCCAGAAAAATATTGCTTTTAGAATTTTTTTTGTTGATATGTACTTACATTTAGTAGCTGAAATAAATGATTTTTTTTTTGTTTGTGGGAGGAAGAGTTCAGTACGAAGCCCCCCCCCCCCACCCTTGAATCAAGTAGTGAGCGTACGTAAATTTTTCTGATCATATTTTCCGAGCATAACTATCGTATATCAATCAAAAAGTCAATATTGTATATTTAAAAGTACTTTCTTTGAAAAGATAAAGATTGACCACTGTTCATTATAAGCAATTCAGTGCCATCAGAAACTTCTCTTCGTTCTCTTTTGTTATAACTTTGAAAATGTTACTTCAGACAGTTTATATCTGACGCACAGATTTATGAGTACTTGAAAATTGCTTTGTTTTTGGACGAAATGTAGTAAATTAATAAACACGTTTACAATAATACACTCTTGCCACTCTGCGAAAACAAAAACCATACTGCAGAAAATCCAGGATTCGGAATGATTGATAATTACTACTTCTTAAGACCATTAAATTCTGCTCAAAACAATTATAGAACTTTATTCCAACAAATTAATTTTAATTACAAATTTACTAAAGACAAAAATAAACTATTAAGATTATTCAAGGAAAATGAATATTTAATAAATGTTAAAAAAAAAAAAAAAAGATAAATCATCAATAAATTAAAAGAGGACGTATCAAAATCTAAGAAAAAAAAAAACAGTCATAACTAAATAATAAAGTAATTACCAAAATTAAGTTTTATGTTTAAATTAATATAGTCCTGAAAATCGAGAATTCAACCACAAAATAGATTTTTATTATGTTAATAAAGGTGTTTAATTTTTGGTATTTTGGTGATCTTTTAATCGTGTTGGTTTTAATTATCTGTTGAGTGATGTAATAAAAAATAAATACTAATCTTAAAAACAAAATAAAATTAGTTTCTAGAATAAAATATCACTAAAAATGAACTGCCTCACCTACTATTGTTATTCATTGTATTCATGAAAAACCGACGAATGCTTTTAAATGTAAAAGCACGACGCACGACTGGAATTCAGACTTTGATGGTAATGTATATATATATATATATATATATATAATATAAGAATCTTACAGATTTAATATGATGTAATTTATTATATTTTTTTCATTGCTATGTATATGTTAAGTATTTTAATTAATTTTCGAAAATAGAATACATATTTAGTATTGCAAATAACAATAAATAAATAATCAAACTCCTGTTTTAATATTTGTCTAACGAATCAGAAACTTCAAATTCGATTTTCTCAAATTCATTAAAATGTTACTGTTTTTTAAATTATCGCCATATTTTTTAGGATGAAAGTGAGTTAGATTTATTAATTAATTGAAAAATTATTATAATGTCATTTCAATATTCCATTTTGATAAATAAAGAGTAGTTTAATAAGAGGTAAAAATAATTAATAAAGATATTTAATCTTTGATATTTTTATTGTTTCTAATTTTAATAGTGTTGGATTTTATTATTTATTGAGCTATATAATAATAAATATGCAGGTACGTACCAATAACTGGTCAGTCCTAATATGTAGGAGACAGCTACAGGCACATTTCTCCAGAGAACGTATCGTACGACGGTTTGGCGGCGACTGAAGGGTTGTGCGCCCCCACTTTTGGATCTCCAGTCTCTTCCGCTTCGTCTGTTGGGAATTTTCATTTTTTTTTCTCTGTCCTTTCTTAAGTGCTTAATTATAAGACTGGTTTTATGTCTCTTGGGTTATTACGTAAAGTTGGTCTCGTCTTCCTCCTTCGGACCGATCAGATACAGAATTGGAAAGCATTAAATGATATTTCTCCAAGGTTCATATATAATTAGATCCTTTTTAAATTCCATTAAGTGTTCAGTCTTTACAAACCAAAGTATTTTATAAATAAATCTACAATGCTCCTTATCATGTCACTACAAAAATTATCTACGGCCTTAATTTCCCATATGTTGCATATTTTTTCCAAACTTAATATCTTTTCTTACATTATCAATACCATACCCATACGGTCCGGACTAGTTTCTAAAATGTTAAAACTTATAACATTAACACCCTTGTACGTAACTGACAAAACCCTACATACCAATAAAAATCTCTACTTACAAATGTAAGATTAAAACATCGATTATTTACCAACGATTTTATACAAATTTACATGGGCATACCAACGTACTAATAAGAAATATATAGCTGATATGCCCCTGAATACTAGATTTAAATGGTACTGGATAAGGTGACTGTATCAATTCTAGCACTAGCGGATCCAGGATTTAATTTTTGGAGGGGGGGGGGCTTCAGCCCGAACGATTTTTTTTTCATAAATCTTCATAAAAATAATTTGAAAAAAAAAGAAGAAATAAATTAACTACGTATATGAAATGGTGTTTAAGTGGTTCCTGAAGTCCTATTAAATGTAATTAAACGATACTTTAAGAGATAGTTTTTAATATTTTTTTTTGTGTAAAATATGGTTATATTTTACCATTTTGGGGAGGGCTTCAGCCCTCCCCCGTAGATCCGCTTGTGAATTCTAGTGTTGCCCAAACGCAAGACCAAGACGAGACCGAGGCGGTCTTGGTCTTGGTCCTGCGTCAACAAACCTTGGTATTGGTCTTGCGTAAGAGTCTTGCAGTTAACTATCAGCCTATTGCTATTTATTAATATTGTACTTTAAATCTTAGAAAAACGCTACAAAATAATTACATTTAGATGAATCATTGACATAAAAATTGTAAAGTACAACTAAATCAATAAAATTAAGAATAAAGAAAGATAGTGATAACCCTCCTCCATCCCTCTCATTATTTGGAATGGACGTGTTGTAGAGTAAAGACAACTTATATATTGTTCCCAATGATTTTAATGAAAAATCTATTGTGTCCACTTTTAAGACTTTACATATATTTTTTTTTTTAAAATGCAACTTTAAATGTGTCTATTAGAAAAAAACAAACAATTGAAATAGATTCATTTTCCTAATAACCGGCCAGTGAAGATTCCTTGGATGAAACAAGCAATATAAACGGGTAAGTGAACCACCATTAAAATCAGCTTATAAAAAACAATATATACTATAACAGCTAAAACTGGTCCGATTCAGATGATTTTAAGTCAACAATTTTGTCAGAAATTTAATGACCTTTCAATAAATAGGCATCCGTTTAAAATCGATGGGTGTATACGTGGTGAATTAGGTCCCCAAAACAATTTTTTTTTTCTTTATAACCTCCAGAATTCACTAAAAATACGAAAATTTAAAAGACTTTAAGTAGAATATTAGAAGAAAGTTTCATTAAAATAGTTAGAGCCGTATAATTTTAAACTTCATAAAGCATAAATACATATGTTTATACAATTAATTGATTAATGTTTTTAGCACATATTTTTGAGGGGAGCACATTTCGTGGGATTTCTGAATTTTCGGATTGAAAAGTTTCAAACAAGAAGACAAATGGAATACATGGAACAAACCTCATCAAGTGTAATTGTATATGATTGACGGAACTGTTATTTCTAATGTTTTAACAATAGAATATCTTGGAGAGGGAAGAGGGGAGGTTTACGCGCCTTCGACCTTGGGGGGATGGGCACCCTTGCTAAATAACAAAAGGACTGATTTGTTATCTTAAATAAATTAAATTTTGTTTGAGGTAATTTAACATCTTTATATTAGGTTTTTTGATTATATTTAAACTTTTTTCTGCTTTAAGAAAATCTATCTTCACACTCATCTCCTTCTGTATCATATTTTTAGTGTCTTTCTGTGTTAGATTGCGTTTAGCCAGGACATCCGCTCTTTCTTGCAGTGCCAATCACGCGTGAGAGAATATATTAAATTCAGAAAAATTAAGCAAATAGTCTTGGGTATGGATGGACCAGAAGGAAACGTTGTATGATCTGCATATGTATTCATAATTGTTACAAATTATTAACTAAATCCTGGAGTAATTGGAAAACCATATGAGTGAAAACCTCATATCAAAGACAAACATCTTTCGTTTTTAAAACGTTGAGAAAAAGCCAATTTTCTGTAACAACGCTTCAATTTAAACCAATTGTAATGATTTTTTTCATAATTCGACCTGAACATTCTTAAATAGAATCATATGAAACAGTTTTACCTATGTATTAAACAAAAATTATTTTTTGTTTAATACCCCACTTTCTGACAATTACAGATGTCCGTCTTTGATATGAAGCCACTCTATATATAATATATATAAATATTATATAGATTTATACAAGTCTTCTTATTATATAACTCAATGAAAGTTAGCAAACTGATTAGCGAGGCAGGAATAAACTAATTGATTAAATTAAATTAAAAACCACAAATATTTTGCATTTACGATGCAGTTACGCATCAGACGTAGACCTTGCTATGTGGATACATCATGTTCTAAAACAGCAATAATGTTATTATTATTTAATATTAATATTTGTTTGAAATATTTTATTTCATGAAAATATTGTAAAAAAAAATGAGATATTACGAATGCAAAGAACACGCAAATTGAAAATATCCATCTTCATTTTTGGTTGAAAAATATAGTTTAAAAAAGTAATTCATTTGTATTATATATTACTGTATTAACTATTCATTATTTAGACTGTTTAAGTAACATTGTATCGAAAAAAGTCTTCCCTTTTTCTAAGAACCTCTTTAAGTCCAGGAACTTTTTCTTGTATTTAATGGCTGAACTGCCAAGGAGTGAATGTCATGGCGCAACTAGCGCCATCTATATTTTTTAAGGTTACTCATTGTACCTTTTAAGGTGTTATGAATTTCCATTATTTTATTAATGTTTTATGAAATTACAAACCAGGGACCAAAATAAAATATGGAACAGACCAAAGCAAGTGTGATTATAAATAAACTACGATTTTAATAATGAAATGTATAAAGAACAATAACATATAACACAAGAAGCAGTGATTGCCATGGGAAGAGGGGATGGATACCCTTGGTTAATGGGGTATAGAATGGTTAATTCAGAATTTTGAAAAATTAAAAAAACTCTTTATTGAATTGAGTTATAATTTTTCTTTGAATCACCAAAGTAAAAAAGCAGATGCAAAGTTTATTTTATTCTATCTAAGAACATAATAATGAAGTACATTTTAATGACTGAGAATAATTGTTTCTTATAAGATAATAAGCTTTTGACGCTGCTATTTTTCATTCGTATTATAGTTAGGTGTATCACTAACAAGGTTTATAAAAATATCTACAAGCTTTCCTTTTATTTATTTTACAATTTATTGTTATTATATTCTTTTCCTATTTATTACTAAACTCGTTTAAAACTCTTGTGCAGCATTATTATTTTTTCATACGGTAATGTTTAAAAACCTCTGGTATAGATGTATTATTTGCGGAGAAAGTTGAACTAATGTTATGAAGTAGATAACAAACAGCAATGTGAACTGTGAACAAAAAATAAATTACAAAACATTAATCTGATATAAACAAACGTCATTTTGATAGTTTTGATTTGATAAATGATTATTCTGATTATAAACCTCATTAAGTTGTTAAATTCCATATTGTTAGTTTATTGTAAAAAATCATTAAATGACATTTCATGAAATTAAATAATTAAGAACTTTAAATAATTTTACATTCCATGAAATCTGAAAATTGTGCGCTTGTAACTGACTTTTTTTTTATATATAAAGGGATTTGTGTAATTTCAGTGCGCAGACTGCATATTTTTAAATTGATAAATAATGTTGAAATTCACAAAAAAACCTGTAATAGTTCAGCTCCATCTCGGTCTGTTTGGGGTGACTTTCAAAATAACAAGGTTATGAAGGCCAAACAGCCCAATATTTGTGTAGGCCACCTTTTTTTTTATATTTTGTACTCAAGTTATCTTACGATTCAAGTGGAAAGCAAAGTGGCATTCATGAGTTTTTAGTAGTAGTTAGAATTTTCGCAAATAAAATATTTGTAGGTTATGATGAGATGAAGCTATTTACGAAGTTTCAGGCGGATTTTAATAATTTGATAAAAAGGGATCTTTATCACAGACTATAAATTTGGAGGTTCTCTTATGAGATATACTATCATCCAACTCAAATTAGTAATGCTTGGCATAACCCTCCATAGCCAAATTCTCCCAAATTACAGTTATGAAATTTTTAAAGAAAACATATACCTCTTAAAAGATTGTTTAAAATCTTGTATTATGTTGATTATTGATTATTACAACATATTGAATTACTATCATTAATTGAGTGGTCTTTATGTAATAAAATGATTTTTTACTATTATGAATTTATGTATTTAATTGGATTTTATAAAATAAGAAAATACAGGAAGTCTTAAGCGATTATATTGGTGTTTTCTTTTTTGTTTCTTTCGAATAGGAATACTTTTTTTCTACATCTCTTATTGCAGTTAAACTAATTGAAGGAAAATTTAAACGATCACAACAATTATAGTTCACATCACAATATGTTGTTATAATAAAAATAATAATTATTAAAAGAAATATTTAAATATAAACTCACCGATCCTAAGATTTCTTTATTTATTGACATAACTTTCCTTTTTTCAATCTTATCAATCTTTGTTTCTACTTGTAAAATGAGTAATTCCACCTAAAAATATAACTTAAATACAGTATTTAACTGTTAACAAATTTAAAATTCTAGAAATAAAATGCCAATAACACAAATTACTTCATCATAAAACTTGTCATTCATCTTAGAAGTTCGGGTCATCATAATGATATGCTTCACTTCTCTTGACTATTGAAAAATGTAATACATGAAAGAAAAAAATGTTATTAGATTTTTTATGAATTGAATTGGATTCTACAAAAAGAAATCCATTGTAAACAACATTGTCTGAGGGATACAATATTTTATTGATAATTAGATGAGACCTTCCAGAGTTGTATGTTATAAAAATCAATCCAATTTTTCTGAAATGGGTTAGTTGTTATACCTTATATATATATAGGTAGTAGCCTGTTCACATGTTTATAAAGATAATGTTTGAAGTAAATGAATAAAAAAAAAAAGAAAAATGTTATCAATCCATTTTGTACTGGTTCAGGTTTTTTATTTTGTCTAGTAAAAACATTGTGATTGTATATGGCTGATGATTAAACTCCATTGATCGTGGTCAAATATCATCCCTATTTTTTTATCATAAGTAACTGTTCTCAAATCAGATAAATTCTAAGAAAAGAAAACTTGGTTGTGAGTGACCCCCTTAATAAATATATTTTTTCCCCCTTTTTTATTTATGAATGAATATAAACCAATTTTATAAAAAACATTTAATTATGACTTTTAATTAATAGTCAATAATGACAATTTGATGTTTTGAGAAAGTTTATTTAATTAAAAACAAAGACAATACCTTACCTTTTCTATCATTCCATCTGACTCTACTACAGTGAATGTCATTGATAATATATTCCAGATGATGGAGGCAATATGATATAATGAAAAATATTGAGGAAAGTAGCTCATATTAAACACTGTTCTAAGCCCTTTTGCAATAATGAAAAAATATAGTGTAGACATGGTCCATCCAAAAGATAAATCTAAATACTTCATACACATTATCAAGTGAAAATGCAACAGCCTTATTTTTTCTATTGAGTTTGATAACAAATTTAACTTGTTTCCAAGTAATAAATTAAGAAGAGATTCATTAAGCAGTTGAAATCTAGATTTTATAGCACAACAAATGTAAGTAAAAAGAAAACTTATCAAATTAAGCGGTGCCACTTGATAAATTTGAACAAAAAGCGCCAAAAAGTCTTCATTGTCATAAATTTTAAAAAAAGTGAACTGCATTAAACGAAAAGTTATGAAAATTACAAAACAAAATTTAAATAAATTCGATCTTACAACTTTGTTATGATCTCTTTTCCAAATTGGATGCTTTGAAACATTGTGATCGTAAGAGTCTAAAAGCTGAATTAATTTGACACTGGATCTGACCGATAAAAGCCATATTAGTGATATCAATATCGCCTCAAAATAATCAGCAATATGAAAACATAACTCGAAACTACTGATTCTTGATGCCATAGACAAATAAATGACTATTGAAACAGTTGATACATAGAATAACATTGTATAATAAGTACAGTAAGAAAAGAAGTTAAAATTTAATTTAGAGCTATTATTCTTTTCTTGTATAAGATCGCTTATTGGAAGTAATCCCACTAATTGAAGTGCTATTAAGATCGGTCTTATGAGAAAGTAAAAGCAAACTTGTTCTCTATTATGGACAAATATTCTTGTCCCTGCCATTATTGTCTCAATTCTGACTGAATATCAATGATATCTTGACTGGTTGTGTTTGTGTATTTTCATCATCTGATGCAACAGAGCAGAACAATACAAATGTAATTTCATTAAATTCATGGCTCATTTGACATGTCTTTCAGCAAAAGAAAATTAATTAAATCTCCATAATTTGTTATCCAATAAAAATAACTTCCTAATTTTTGTCCAAAATTTTATTGCTATCAGCTATATTCATACTCAAGAGTATATTATATTTGAGAACTTGAGTACTTATATATTTTTGTTTTTGAAACTTATTTACTATCTTGAGGAATTATTTCAAACCGTTTTATTAAAATTATTTTATTAACTTTTCATTCACATATACATTTCATGACGTTTTGGACTCTTTTGCCAATTTTAAAGTTAAAAATACATATCTGAAAAAATAAAAAATATTATTAAAATATAAAACTTTTATCAACTCACCACTAAAAATATTTTTAACAATCACTATTAATAAAATATAATAGTGGCTAATAGCCATGGCAGTCGAAGTAATGTTAAAAAACAGCAACTTAAAAAAAAAAATATATATATATAAACCTCTTTCTTTACTACATTAATATAATTAATGTTTCTGTAGATCCAATAGTATTCTGACAAACATGAACTTAATTTTATTGAATTAAAATTTAATTGATGTCTGTAAAGTAATTATCAAAATAGGCATACATAATAACTTTTTTCACAAAATATATTTTTTTGCTAGTTGTGATTTTAAATTTGTTCAAGTAAGACAAAAAAAATATTATAAAACAGGTTTGGATATGATTATGACACAATTATGTTATAAAAAATGATAAGTTTGATGATATTTTGTTAATAGTGATTGAAAAACAAAAAAAATTATTTTAAAGAATTTGCGAGTAATTATATATTTTTATTTATTGTGGATCTGTATAAAAACAAATAGAAAAAAAAATCTGATGTTAGAAATATATATTCAATAGAAAAATACTTTTTAATAAAAAAGAAATAAAGTAACAAAGTAAGGAATAATATTGTAAATCCTTAAAGTGAAGATTCGTTATTGGTTTTTAAAATAATTATCTCTTACCTCTTACCATTCTATCTTCATAAAAAATGGATCAATATATTTTCACTTTTTTTTATTAATAAATTATGTATTAAACTTATACACTATTAACATGTTAAAACTTTTACAGTCAAAAATTACATACTTGTCATTATAAATATTAATTAATAAACAGATTTCAATCCAATAAACTACTAAACAAATTTAGATTTTCTTAAGTAGGTACTAAAAAAATAATGTAATTAAAATGATCTAATAATGCAACATCTAATTTTCATTTAATCATTTTTCTTAAATTTTGTTTAAAACAATTTTTTATGGTTATACACTATTATTTAACAAAAAAGGTAAAACAATCTTTAAAAGTATTAAAATTTCTCATCAATCAGTCGACTTAGTTCTTCAAACAGTTCTTCGTCATGGTTTTCATACATGTTGCCATTTACAAGAGTTCTGTGGTCATAAGGAGGTATTGGCATTTCATTTTCTGAGGCTGGAAGAGGTTCAGAGTTGAAGAATGGATGTTTCAATGCCTATACAGTAGTTAAAAAAAATTAATTTTAAATGTAATAGAAAATTTTATATTTATTAAACTATTAAGCTCACACTGAAAAAAATGACTAACTGAGACAGTACACAAGCAGAACTAAATTAAAATTAATATTTTTTTCCACTTACTCTCCTACATATTTATAGTATACACATTAATAGATGATATTCTAAGCTTTCGATGTACGCATATACTTGTAAATCAAATCAACCAGTCGGATTGGAAAATAATTGTCCACAAAATATGTTTCAATCAACTTGCACATGCTTCAGTTTTCCATCAGTCTGCCATTTTTATTATGGTGAGCCATTTCGGATAAATTATCATTGTCGAAAATTTCATTCTTGAATCATCCATCCTCCCCACGGCTCAAAACAAATTCTGAATAGTTGGTATATAAGCTTATAAATTAAAGGAATAATTCTTTCTATATACTATTTTGACTAATGTTAATTCTGAATTGTAAGTAATGCAAAGGTTAGAACGATGAACATCTTACAAAGACAAAGTGCACAATCCTCTGTTTTCAATCAAATTTAATTTTCAATGACTTTTGCTAATTTGATTTTTTTAGTCTTTAGATGAAATGTTTTATTTTTGGACAGTATTTTGATGATGACTTAAAAAGTTCTGTTATATTTTCTTTTTAAATCTCTCAGATGAAGCATAACTTTAAATAATATAATCTATGGTACCTTTTTTTTCAACTACTGAACTAAATTCAGTAAATGCTTATAGAGCCAATTTTAATTGATCTGATGAATCAAATCTATGAAAGCTTGTAGAAAAAATATTTTTTAAAAGAATAAAAATAAAACGTAGACTAAAAACTGAAATGATACTTATTGAACATTTCTATTGAAATTTATTAGTATTTTTATAAATTTGCCCACTTTTTTTTTTACAAGGAATAGACTTTAAAAAAAATTATTATAATGAATCATCAATTAAGTGAATAATGCAAGAAAACATATAATGGAATTATTGTTTTGGAACTTTGAATATTTAATTACATATGGAACTTTTTATCTGTTTTTCCATTTATGTACATTATTTAAATTAAAAGGGAAAACATGTTTATTACCTGTTTTGCTGTCAACCTTTTGCTTGCATCGTATTTAACGAATGCTTTTATGAATTCTCTAGTGTCCTTGTTTACAAATGGCAGAAGTTTTTCCCATGAAAGCGGAGGTGATTGTTTAAACGATATTTTGTTAAAATCTGGAAGTTTTGTATGCCCTGGCCAATTTTCTTCAGTTGGACTCCCCAGTGATCTTATCACTAATGCTAGCTGATCAATATCTGTTTCACCCTATACAAAATAGTATTCTGATTATTTTATAAAATAAAACCATCTATAAAAATGTTTGTATTGCATGATGCATCATTTTTGGGAATAGCATCAATTATAAATTAAAACAAAATCAATTTATTAATTAATTAAAAATATGATCCATTTGGCTCTATGAATATTTCTTTCAAGGAGCATTGAAATTTTCAACTCAAAGCCATTATTATATTGGAAACTTTATTCTTGATAATCACTTTAGACAGTTAGCACAAATAATATTTTGTAATTGTTTCTCCAATGATTAATAACTAAAATGGTTCAAGGTTTTTTTTTTTTTAGGCTTAGTAAAGGTTTTCTTAGTGACTAGTGCTATAACAGTATAATTAATTCTATTCATTATTCCTATTTATGGTGTCCCAAAGTTTTTCTGTTCATAAATCTAAGACCATTTAAACACCATTTCTTTATTGTTTCTATAACATTAATATTTTAAAGGATAGTGTTTCGGTCAGCATTAGGGCCATTTTCAAGTCTTATTTTATCTAGCTACAGACTGTATTGTTGAATAATCTATTTGTTTAATAATTAATGTAGGAGGTTAATTTGATACAAAAATATAAAAAAATTATTCAACTTACTGGAAAGAGTGGCATTTTATTGAAAGCTTCTGCGACTATGCATCCCACTGCCCATAAATCCAAAGCTTCTGTGTATTTTCGTGAGCCATAAAGTAGTTCTGGAGCCCTGTACCATCTTGTTGAAACTTGTGGTGTATAACATTTGATTGCATCCTTTAAAAATGGTCTGGCTTGTCCGAAATCTCCTATACGTAAAATCCCATCTTGACCAATCAAAAGATTAGCCGGCTTTAAGTCCTGTTTTCATAATGAAATATTAAACTAAATTTCATCAATAGGAAAAATCATAAAAAAAAAGTTATGACGAAAACAAAGTTTTACTCATGATTCTAAAAGTGAGTATTTTTGGTTAAGTATGTATATAATTATTTGAAAAATATGTTTTTTAAATAAAGAAAAAAAAATTAGCAAAACATTCCAGATGCTGATTTGAAAAAATAATTTAACTGCCTACAAAGGTAAACATAGAATAAAAAAAATCAAGATAAGACCAATATTAGTGAACATATTACAATAAAAAAAATTCAATTTTTATATTATTGTTTCCCCCAAAGTGCTACAGAAAGTCATGTGTGGGGACACATAATATTTTCGATATTGATCTATTTGGAAATAATAAATCATTGTGTAATAATTTGCAGCATTTTTCTTAGTATATTGACTTAATCCACAAATACCAAAATCTAACAACTATCATCTATGAACCAAAAATAGGCATTATTGAAATAAATATCTTAAGAATATTCAATAAAAAATTCCACAATATATAGTACACAGATTGAATTTTTATGAACTATATTGAATAACTAAAACAATTACTTATATAATCAATAATATTGAAATATTTGTTCTTTTCTTTATTTTCTTCTCTTCCTCAACTTTTAGACTATAAGAGGTTTTTCCTGGTCAAGGGGAGAGGGTGGAGGAATAACGCCGGGGTTAAAAGTCCCCCGGCACCGTGATATGAACTTGTAAACTTTGATTTATCACTTTACAGGCAGCGCATGTTTTTCACACACTTTAGCCCGCTTGTCCATCCTGTCTCCTTAATATTAAAATTGCAGTTATGTTTCTGTACAATTTAAGAAAGAATTCAATGATTATTTAGGGCGTGAGATAACTCACTGGTTAAGGTATTATGCTCCCATTCACCTGATTTCAGGTTCATGTTGAACTGTGGCAATGAATTATTTATTCCGTTACACCACTTATAGATTGATTCCAAAGTCAGGAGATTCTTCTAGAGCACACTCAGCCTTTATTTTGGGTGCTCTTAATTAATGAATTAATAATTTAATTAAGGTGGAAAAACTGGAAGTTGAGCATGATATAAGCTAAATCACCTGCTTGCACAACTGATGAAATAGAAATTTTTTTTCCTTATATTGTATTGATCCTTCATGGGTTAAAGTAGTACAGTTTTTTCAATGATTATTTATCAATCCAAAATTAAATTGAGCTAGCTATGTTTTCTATATGTAGGTATTTTGAATAAACTGTGCCTACCACTGGTATTAACTAAAGCTATGCTCATATACTATGAATGTTTACCCGATGCATTATTCTATTTTCATGCAAATAACAGACACCTTGAAGTAACATTTGCATGTATGCTTTTAATTGTCCATCGCTCAGTTTGATTTTTTCATCGTTTAGCATTTCCCAGAGACCAGAAGGCATATAATCAAAAACCAGAATAAATCCTGAACCTTTAGAGAAGAAATCGAGAAGTTTCATTACCTGAAATAATTAAGAAGTACTGATTAGTTTTTTTTTAAGATCCTCTGTATGGATAGGGCAATAGCTTATCTATACTTTACTGACCACTATAGTGGTCTATGTATGATTGACATCATATTTTTGGTAAAAAAAAAATTTTATTTGACGAAGTATTTTTCAAAACTGCTAATTTATTAATGATTATTATTCAAAATTGAAATTACTAGAAATTTAAGTAATGTAACCAGAAAAATAATTTATACAGTCAATGGGAAAGATATGCTAATTTATTTTGAAATAAATTTAAATGATTGACCAATGTTCTTTTCCTCATTATAAAAAATTAATGAAGTTGAAACTGCTGAAACATCTCATCTGTTTATTTTACAACTCGCAAGCGGGTCTTAGCTTCCTCCAAGCAATCGCTATACGTCCCTATTTTGTGCTGCTGCCATCCAATTTCTCACTCTAATGGACCTTATAAGTCACCTGGGACACAGTCCGAACACCGCAGCCTGGCTCTCTCAACTCTGTGCCTGCCGAACTGCTGCTCCGTTATTATTTTCTTCGGGATTGATTGATCTGGCATTCGTGTGAGGTGTCCCGCCCACCTTAATCTTCTTGCCTTGATAATCATGAATACATCAGGCTCGTTATAGAGGGTACAGATTTCTCTATTTCTACGCCTTCTCCGTTGTCCGTTCTCACAGATGGGCCAATCAATTTCGTTAAAGATTTTCCTCTCAAAATCAAGCAGGTACCGTTCATCTGTCTTTATGGTAGTCCAGGTCTCAGAACCATAAGTCATAATAGAGCATATGAGGTTTTTGTAAAGGATAACCTTGGTGCATTGCGAGACAAGTCTGCTCGATTGGTGGGAGCAGAGTCCATAATAACAGCGATTGGGTGAGATCATTGTTCTCTGTTTCTTTGCTGAGATTCTATTGTCGCACGTCACTTCTGCACCAAGATATATGAATTCAGACACTTGTCAAACATGCAGGGACCAAAAGGCAACTTTCAACCTTACTTATCTGATGAAAATTTATGGTAAGTGCATGAAAATTACACATACCCTTTTATTTATCATATATAGTTACACTAATATTCCTTTCTAATTTCATAAAGGAAAAATTCATCAAAGATCTTAATTATTTGAGTTATCAAAGTTATTAATTATTATGAAATGTCACTTAATGACCTTTTTGGGATAAACTGACGATATAACAGATTCAATAACCGATAGTGTATAGATAACAAACAACTTCATTATTTTTATACATGCATATGATATTTTATTATAATATTTATTTTATCAATAATAGTTCTAGTTTCAATGATCTAAATGACAGGAATATGATGAGCACTGGCATTGCTTTATCATTATATAGAATTTATTTTTCTACTATTGCACTGCTATATTATTGAAAAACTGCTATCAAGGGTTAATGTTTTAATCAAGCACTCTTTTAGTATTAATTTCTTTTTTTTTATATAACATTAACGATTATAGGAAAAAAATGCATGATGAAATGTCAGTAAGGTAATTATGATATTCCATATGTACCGTGAAATAAGGATTGCTCTTTATTTTTACCTTACCATTTCCTTTTTTATTTTTATATGGTGTTGAGGATTTTTTTTAGTTTGACTGAATTACCTTTCTTAGAGTTCGAAAAAGTTTTATTATGTAAATGAATGAAAAGATTAAAAGCAGAGTCATCAGCCTGGATCACTACTGATTGTAAGTTGTGTTAACTCTTCTATTAGCAATGCCTCAATTATTTAACTTATTTTGTTTATTTTAAGTATTTATTTCTTAAGAATTTATTAAAAATATAAAACAGAGCAAAAAGTAAAAACTTTTGAATTTAATTTAAAATGAACTAATTTCAATATTTTGTTTCTACTTGACTTTACATTTATTTATTAATATTTTTTGTGTAAATAATCTGTGACTAAATTCATCATTTGTACAATTTCAAGAATTAAATTCCATTTATATAATTTATATTCATAATCATATAATTTTGGTTCGTTAACATTTGAAACATCTATTATTTGAACTAAAAAAATTAGGTCTGATTGGTTTTAGCAATGTATAAATATGCCTATTTGAATCAAAATTGTGTTGTTTTTTTATTAAAGAAATTTCTATCAATCAATATCAAATTAATTTTTATAAAACTGTTCTTTAAATTTAATATATACAGATTCAATTGGACATATTAAGTATAGTTAAACATTAACTTATCTTTAAGCTCATTACAAATTGTTATAAAATTTATACATTTCGAAAATAAAAAATCGTTTGACAGCTAAATATGTATTATAAATACTATTAAATTGAATTTTGTCATAAAAACTCACATATCTGCAGTCTACGGCCTGAAGAGTTTTTATTTCCCTTATTATTTCATTAGGTAAACCTTTTTCTTTCCGTTTAACAAGAACTTTTTTCAATGCTACTTCTTTACCGGTTTGATTGCATTTGGCATGTAAAACATATCCATGAGCTCCTTCTCCAATCCTTTTTATCATCATGTAATCATCCATCTTGGTACGTTTTTTAGATAATTTATGTATTCTTATGTCATCATTATGTGAATACATAATTCACAATATCAAAAAAGTTAACTGAAGTAATTTATGTGGACACCACTAGCTAACCTCACTTGAAAAGGGTATGTTGTATCCTAGTAACTGTTTCCATAACAACACCACTACACAGCATGAAAAATAATATTCCTGAACTTTTTTAAACATATTATTTATTAAAATGTGTAGTAAAATAATATTGACAAATACTATGTCTTATGTATGTTTACATTATCAGCTTAGGCTTGTTTTCTAGTTTTCTAGTTGAAACAGGCCTACATTTCTTGATAACTAATCTAAATAAATAGTTAAAGAAAAATGTTTTTAGAAATTAGATGAAACTTTTTATTACATTGTTATTTAATTAATAAGAAGTTATTTAAAAAAAAAATACTATTATAAGAAAAACTTAATTTATAATAAACAAATATTTATTGCATTAAATGTTTATAAAAAAATATATCAGTTATTAGTCAAGCAGAATTTTATTATAATTATCAAGATATTGAATATATAATTATTTTCATTAAAAGCTGAATCATTTTTTTGAAAGTTATTTTAATTGTTTAAAATATATTTTGAACATAATAGGTGATTGCAGATCATATAAATTATTGGAATTTTATTTTTGTTAGACGAAACATAATATTTATTATTTTTACTTTCACTTATTTATTTATGTTTTACGACTAGTTTCATTATTTTTCCTTTTTTTAATTGAACAGATCAGTGGTAGATTTTTACAATTCATGATCATTTTGTAGGCATATTACATTTTGGAAAATAAAAGAAATTGTATTAGTACCTTAGTATGATAAATATTTATTAATACACCTTCTTATATTTCAAAGAAAATATGACCCTTTTTCTCTGCAGATGATTTTATTTTGAGTTTACCAATTTGTTACTTTTGCCCATTTAGTATGGCTTGCATTTTTATAAGTTTTTCAATTCTTATGAATTTAAGTTATGTCGATATTTTTTTATTAGCTGTGTATTTCCTTTCTCAAATTGCATAGATATATATCAATATGTGTCTTTTCTTTAAAAGTATTGATGTCCTTGAATGTATTGTATTCTTGTAATGTATTGAATGAAATGTATTGAAATCCTTCCTTTCAAATCGGTCCCAGTATGATCCCTAGTCAACCGCCGTCTAAGGCCCTTCCCCTCTCCTGTGGTGTCCCTCAAGGTTCCTCTCTATATTCTACTCTGTTTGCTATTTATATTAATGACCTTCTCTTCCTGATCCATCACTCCCAATACCATATTTATGCAGATGATTTCCAAATATTCCTGTCCTGACCTCCGACCTATTATAAGCCACAGAAAAACTTCAAGAGGACTTGGATAGGATTTGTGACTGGGCAAGAGCTAACAAGTTGAAATTGAATGCGAAAAGGCCAAAGGCAATCTTAATAGACTCCAATCACCTCCTTAAAACTGTTTCTAATATTCCAGCTCTGTTCTTATATCAAACTCTGTTACTAATAATCCCATCGAATTGTGTACTTCCTTCACAAACCTTGGATTAACCTTTGATCAAATGCTTTCCTGGAAAAACCATATATCCAATATCTCCTGCCGTACCATTTCCACCATAAAATGTCTAAATTACTCCCGTCACCTATTTCTCCTTGACATCCGTAGGCTCCTAGTCACTTCCTTAATTTTCCCCCACTTTGACTACTGCTGTGCGGTATATGGGGGCATCTCTGGTAATCTCAAGGCGAAACTAAAATGTTTGATATATTGCTTTGTACGATTCATCTTCAGGATCCCAAGGGATGCCTCTGTTTCCCGTTTTTATGCGGCGTTGAAGTAGCTTTATCCTTCCTACCATTGTAAGTATTTCCTGGCATCCTTCCTCTTTCAAGTCATCCAATTCCACCATCCTTTATACGTCTCCGAGCTCCTTCAATTCAAATTCTCTGTTCATTCCCGCAATACTCATTACAGGTCTTCTGATTTCTGACTTCTGGTCATCTGATAAGGGTCCACCAAACCACTACTTTCGACAGATCGTTCATTATCCGATCCTCATCCCTATGGAACTCCATCCCTTCCCATATCCGTCAATCCAATACCCTTCCTATTTTAAATCCCGCCTGTTCAATCATTTCTTATTAATATATTTACATAGCGTAATAGCAGGTTTTTTATGAGTGATGAGATATGAATGGGCAATAGTGATAAACTTATTGAAATAGAAAGGTTAATATTAAATGATAAATATATATTCATTCTTTGTGAATTGAGTTGGCTTTATATTGTATGTCTTTTGAAAAGTAACTAGGCCCGGAAAAGCAAAGAGCCAGACAGCAAAGAAATTTGTGCCATAGAAGGAGAGTCAGTTACCCATTGAAATACTGCCATGCTTTGATTCAGGTGTTTCAACAATGCGAATATGAGCCTTGCAGATGAACCCAGATCAGATCATTGATGATGATGTTCTTTTTGAATATGTGAACCAGAATCCACTAGCAACTACTGATGATTTATTTTTTTTGTTTGTCCTCACTACCTTGCCTTTTAGGCTATATGGGATTTTCCTGGGCCAGGGAGTGAGAGAGGGGGGATTAATGCCAGAGTTAAAAGGCCCCTTCCTCTAGTACCGGGATGCGAACTCGTAATTATATTATAAAATCGTCTTCTATCAGGTTGCCGGGCAACATTTGCCCGCTTGGCCATGCTCTCCTATACTACTCATGATTTATTGGCCATAGTAGAGGCTCCTAACTCCACTGTGGCTCATTATTTTAAAAACCTTGGTTTATGCAATTTAAGAAGTTTCACATGACTTGATAGAGGCCCAAGTCCTACAACGGGTAGATATTTGCAAAATTTTGCTTCAAAATCCTAAAGATGACAAGTTGTGGGAAAAAAATTTTCACAAGTGACGAAAGGTGAATATTTAAAAAAAAACTAGAAAACATACGCAGTTGGTACGGCCAGGTGAAACTGCACAACTAGAGGTTTGCCAATATCTGTTTGGGAAAAATGTGATGATTTGTGCTTGGGGGAACTTCAAAGGCGTTTTGCATTTAGAGTTTGTTCCAGATAGTCAGGCAGTGGACTCAAACCTTTACTGTGAACACCTGAACAGAGTTTATGGATTTTTGATTACAAAGTACTCCACTTTGGTCAACAGGAACCAAGCCATTTTGCAACATGACAATGCTCCTGCACATTGTTCTCATTTTACCAAAGAAAAATTATTAGAACTGCAAGCAGTAAACATTTTGTCTCATCCTGCATCTAGCCCAGATATAGCACCATCAGATTATGGTTTGTTTAGATCTTTGGAAAATTTTTTAAAAGGTTGGATCTAATCATAACAAGGATGTAAAAATTGGATGTGAACAGTTCTTTGCCTCAAAACCAAAGGAGTGATCGTTCCACCAAATCCAATTCCTGGTTGAATACGTTATTCTCTTACTGTGGAAGAATAAATTAACTTGATTTTCCTAATGCACATTATTTATATCAAATTTCTTTTTTTCCTCTATGGAAGCAATAAGGTTGTATTCCATCATGATTGTTCCAGTGTTGGAATCTTCTATGATATGCCTTTGTTGTCTTAATATTTTCAATACCTCACATAAACATTTTGGTTGTGATTAATCCAGGAAATGGTGGGGTGTAAGTTTAAATTGACCTTACAAGTTCCACAAAGCTTTCTAGGAGTGATAATCGCTATGCTTTATTTTAGGAAAAAATTTACTTTCTTGAAATCCAATTCTGTAAAGTATGTAAACTAGAATTAATTTTCTCATAAATCAATTTTAAGGTACTAGTATTAGAAAATATAGTGACAGAAAAGCAGATCCGAAAGTAAAAAATAAAAAAGGTTGAAAAAGTTCATGCAAATGAAACATAGTAATATGGTGATTGAATGTTGAATCGAAAGAAAAAGAAAATAATAGAATTAAAATTATCTATCAGGCTTCATTTATCTAATTATATCTTACGAATCAATCACTCATTTGGGTAATAGTAAGTCCAAATATGACATACATATTAATGATAATTAGCTAATACATGAATCTGTCCATGAATCTGTTTCTTTTTTATAATTAATTTACTACTACCAAAAATGGCTTTGTGTTAACACACATAATTTTGTAATAATTAAAGATTCATTACATGCTAACATATACACATTGTAAAATATATAGCCATTAATCAGCAGTGAAATGTTTTAAATAAAGAATTATGTTTTTATAATTTTATTGTTACACTGGAATAATTTTTACAATATACATTAAAAAATGCTATTACATTTTATTCACACATTATTAAAAGACAAAAATATTTAAACATTATTGTAAACCATTTTAATTATCATGTACAATTAGGTATTTGCAATATAATTAGACATCTTTGGCATAGAACTTAATTTATATACAATTTTCTTGCTAGAATGATCATGCATTATTAAGAATTACTAAACTGGATTTATGATTCTTTATTATTTACAAAAATTACACATTACTTTCCTCCTTCACTTTAAAATTTCTTTGAGCATTAGTGACTTATTTTCCTATTTCGATTGCCATTTGGCTTTTCGGCCAGTCGAAGGCAACTGAAATCTCACTCATTTTTATATGGTATATCTTCTTATATTTTGATTTATCTTCTCATGAGAGCCTTTGTAAATAACCAATCATTCATTTATTTTTATTAAAAACATTTATTTATTTTTTCAAAAAGAAAATTACTGTAACATTAATTTAAGATCCTAAATCTGTACAAACCACTAATGAAGGCATTTGACGATATTACATTAATTCATTTATTGGGACCAGCCAAGTCACTTAATTGCTGATTTTATAGTATTAAGATTACATAATCAAATTCTATCCCCAAATTTTCTGTATTAGATACACTATTACTCTCATATAGTTAGGGAAGGTCTATAACAAGTAAACACTCATAAATTGAGGTTTTAATACTAATTATTTAATTTATCAGGAAAAAATTAAATATCGCCATATTCCTTCTTGTTTTAAATAGAATAGGTCACATAGATCAATAAAATCCCAAAAGATTTTAATTATGTAGTAAACATACACATCGAATGCCTATATTTAATTAAAATTATACTCTTCAAAACCTTATTTACAAATTAATTAAAACAATATACATTTATAAAACAGTGCACAGTAATTATTTTTTATTTACAAATATTTACAAACCTTAGGCCTTAATAGATATAAGAATGGGCTAAGACTTAA